AAAGTTTTGCTTCACCAATACATAATTACCAAACTTTTAAAATCATACAAACGTAATCTTAAAAGGGTGTTTTGTTTATACAGGTTTTCTAGTTTATTGTACTTGAAGTTATTTTTTAAAAATGTCATTCTTCTATTGCATCACATTCCGTAAAGGTTACATTCACTACAACCTAGTCAAACAGTAGTTTAATATTTGCCAGTTCAACACAATATTACACACAGGTTTTAATTACGATAACAAATCATTTTAATTGTTTTAATCTAATTCTAGAGTTCACTCAGTGAAAAATAGAATGACTAAAGAAACCACTCTCATGATGATTTGTTTGTTTGTAATTAAGCACAAAGCTACACAAGGGCTATCTGTGCTCTGCCCACCACGGGTATCGAAACCCGGATTCTAGCGTTGTAAGTCTGCAGACATACCGCTGTACCAATGGGGGGCCTCTCATGATGAACACTAGCAGTTAGAGTGGAAGATGGATACCATCTATAGTAGGTACTGTAAACAGTGGCGTAAGTATACCCCCGAAATTGCGAGGGGTCTAACAAACTTAGGAATTGCCGACAAAGTGAATAAATGTAGAAGACCCAATTAATTTTTAATAATTGGGGGGGGGGGGCATCTTTTGCAGCTACGCCACTGATTGTGAACCTAGGTTTGAAAACAAATACCTGGATTTTTTCTTTCTAATTGAGACGGGAAAATATGGTATGCAGATATCATAACTGTTCCTCTTCATAATAGAATATGAACACGTCTTCATTCATACAATTTTGTAAAGTTACAGTACAAGTGTCTGTATTTAGTTTCACGTTCAAGTACAACATAGATGTGCTAAAACCGAGAACTGTACTAATCCTGCTGTAAACCAGACGCACGTTGTCAGAATTGGTCAAAGTATGGGTGTTTAATGGACGGCGTGTACGATAAGTCGTTAATTAGTTTTAATCACTTCCTTGTGTATTCATCTTATATGAAGACATAGATGATGGTAGTCCCGGTTTCCCTATCTCTAAATGGGGCTTGTCGAATAATTGATAACGTGGGCATTTCAGTAAATTCTGTCAGAGTTTAGTGATCATTGAAGTCGTTCAGTTCAGTCGCTGCACCCATTTACTAAGATAGCTGACTTTGAGATTGAAGTTAATGCTGTTGTTTTGGAATATTATACAATCTGCATAATTTCTAATAAAGTGATGCCTTATTTCTATTCTGCTTCGGTTTCTTTTATTTGTGATCAAGTCAAACTTAGTTATTCATCGCTAAACAAATTCAGAACATACTATTACAGTTTTCATTAATTACTTGTTGTTAAGTGCATTTTAGAATAGTACAGAAACACTTGCACATGGATAATTTGAATAATATGGCTCCGTTAAACAAGTGAGCAGATGGAATGATATAGTCAGAATTTTACATGGTATTGTGGTATGGTGATTCCGTTCATCACATAATTATAAACCCTAAAAATAATGTCTATACGAGATGAGGAAAAGTTGTATGGTAACAGCAGTGTTCTAGAGTATCTGCATCAGGAATTACATGTGTATAGAAAACAAGATAAAAATTCCTGATTACGATATTTCAGTAATTTCATTCTCAGAATCTTTTAGCTAAAATTAAGTTATTAGATAAAGTATCTCACTGATCTTGAAGTACTTGCAGAAATTCATAAAAACAAAATAAATACTACAATTACATTAACGAATTACCCACCACTTCTTTCAGGTAAACATGCTAGTTTTAACACTGTTGGATAACAATTATCTAAAATGGACAGGCAGATTGCAATACAATCGCGAAACTTTTCAATGCGAACATTGTACGATATTCTTGTTATAGTAAAAGGAAAAAATCTATAAATTGTTTTCCGATTAATTGTTTCTCCCAAATGTAATGAATTAAAATATATAAAAAGAGGGGGTTATACATGATGTAAATATAAAGTTCGACATTTATCTGGACAACGAAGTTTGTATTCAAAATTTAACTTTGAGAGGTATAGTAGAAAATATTTTTCTACGATCTGTTTTTGTCTATTTTTTTACATCTCCTAGGGCAGACTTGGTTATTTCCGAAATTGTGTTAAAATATTTTGTTCATTTTTTGCTTTAGTTGTAGCACATTGGATCTTCTGGTTCAGTAGATAACACACGCTTGAGAATTTAAACTCCATAAAAGTTGTTTGGGTTTGAGTGACTGATTTTCCATAATTCATTTACGAAGATTTCGAAAATAATATTCTTTTTTTTTCTATCACGTAAAGATTTTTTACAAATCGAGAAGAAAAAACTCTTACTTAGATCAAATGAATATTTTTTATTATTATGTTTATTAACAAAAATACAAATAAACTGAAGAAAATGGAACATTGATGTCAAACGAATATGCATCCTCATTCATCCTTATTTTTTTGTGAAATCTACGTATCGAAACTACATGTTCTGGTCTTTCTTTTATGTATTGCTTATGATGTTTTGTGAAAAATCTGTACGTGATGGGAAAAAATGAGCATAATTTTCGGATTCAGCGTACAGGAATTACTGAAGAACATGTACAAATTTCAAGACAATAAAACCATCACAGGCCTGTGTTAATAGTTCTTCTTTCTCCATTCAGAGAGACAACTGTTTGACATGTAAAGGTCTATCTACTGACCATCTACTCGCCACTGACCATGTTGATCGAATCATATTTAACTTCGTCTTTGGTAATCAATCAAGTGAATGACTATGCTTTCCAATTTCAGTAATCTTATTCTTCAGGCAGATTGTCACATTTGAAATAAATTAATTTCAACCTTTCATAGCTAATTAGATGATATTTGTAGTAAAGTATATTCAGATGGTTTACCAAAATGTTCATCCATCTGTTCTGTATATAGTTATGATATCCTTGCAAACAGGATATGCTTGGGTAAATGTAACATATTGCAACATTCATCTCACAGAAGCTTCCATCAATTTGGGTCCCTGCCAGTATCCACTAACAGGGACAGAAGTACTCATCTCTGGGGATGACACATATATGTTCAAGCTGGTAAGAGTTGAGGGGTTCTCTCTTTTGAATATATCATTTGGAACACTCGACATAAGAAAATAATGAATTATGGAAGCCAACACTAAGATCTCTTTGATTTGGAAGTGTGATACAACATTATTCTTTTAATCCTTGTTCTGTGTGTATGTGTTTGGAAATAGGTTTCCAGATCCAGCTACCAGTTTGAGTGAAAATAATAATAAGCTGGACAGCTTTATTTTAACAATGTTTTTTAATATTTGTGAATAAGAATTTTATTCACTTTTATATTTGTTTTTCTTTATTGTCCTTTCACAACTGTTTTCTCAACATACCATTTCCTGAATTTGCATTTTTGCCAAATATTTTCACTACCCATTGGATATTAGTGTACCTGAATACCACAAAGCACTGACTGATTTCAGAAAAGATGTTAGCAGAAAACCGAAGAAATCTGAAAAGGTATTTCAATAGAAGGTGGAAGCATTACTTTCTTTTTTCATCTCTTTGCAATTTCCTTGCTGTTCAACTCCAGAGGAAACATGAAAGAACCTCAAAGCTACAAAAGTACTAACTCCTACAGTTTACAATTTAAAAGAAAACCAATCGTAATAAGTACCAAATATTGTAGTACATCATCTGCTTTCCATTATCATAACTTTACAGTGTTATAAAATAGATGCATTTAGTGCCACACACAGCAAATTTTGTTCGCTTATTCACCATACATGCACATACACACATAATTAAAATATTCACTGAAGTCATTTTTCAACTGTTCTTCTGATTGTAAGATTTGAGGAATGAACTTCCAGTTTTATTTCATTTACTTTCAATAAATAAACATATATTCAGAAGAACAATAAAAATTTAATTATGTAATAAATTCAACAAATGATAACGGTGATTGTTTTACACTTAAATGATTATTAAAAGTATTCAACTACCTCAGGCATTTCTAAGTGGGTTATTTCAATGTAAGCCTACTTTGAAAATCAATCAGGTATAAAAGAATCTATAACAAATAGTAAAAATGTATTATGCCACATATCTTATCAAATTATGGAATTTAAAAAAACTTCATAGTATCAATGAACGACTAGTACATAAACACCAAAATAACACGATAAGACTCAGCAGAAACTACAGAATAAAAGACATCCCACCCACCCCAAAAAAAAGAAAGCTGTTGCTCTTTTCAGCTTTTACTCATATTATTGTCCACAAGTTAGTGGAAACTATAAAATTTAAAATCCTTACAAAATGCAGAAATTTTATCTTCAATAAACTAGCCTATATTTTCCCATTTTATTAGAAGTTAGTTATTATGAACAAGACGGCATTTGGTCATCTAATTTCAATATATAAATAAACATAATCTGAACATCAGAACTGCTGTGTGAAAAAGAAAAAAAAAGGAAGCATGAACACTGTAAAAAGAATTATGCACACACCAATTCCTGAGCAAGAATTTGAAAGTAAATTTTATTATACAAAACTGGAGAAAACTGGTGGGAAACACCACAAATATACTATGGTATGAAGTAAACAACCTGAATGGAAAGATTTTCACCTTCACTAACAAAACTGAAACACAGGTCTCATCACATTCGATGACGAGGAACTCACTTTGAGACTAATAATGGTTGGAGACGGCTTGAATGGGTAATGAAGA